TGGGAATGGGATTTCTGTTACATCATCGCTGGTATGGGTTTTCGACACTGGAATAGATATGAACCTGTCATCGGGACTGGTAGTGAGGTTTGAAGGATACGTGGGCATATAGTTGTCTAGGGGGTTTTGGATGAAGTGGAAGATGATGTAGATTAAGTAGATGTAGAGGTTGTTGAGGCAGATGAAGAAGATGAAGAAGAAGAAGAAGAAGAAGAAGAAGAAGAAGAAGAAGAAGAAGAAGAAGAAGAAACATGAGAAGAAAGAGAAGGAGGAGGAGAAGCGCAGAAGGAGAAGGATAACGAGAAAGAGGAGGAGGATAAATAGTGAGGATGAGAAAGAGGGAGGAGAAGGAGAAGAAGACGAAAGAGGAGGAGAAGAAAGAGGGAGAAAAAGAAGAAAAAAGAAGAAGAAGAAGAAGGAAGGAGAAAAAGAACAAGAATGAGAAGAAATGAGACTTAGAAAAAAGAAGAAATATAATAAGGAAGAAGTAGAAGAAGAAGAAGAAGAAGAAGAAGAAAAAGAACATGTAGAAGAAGAAGAGATAGAAGAAGAAGAACATGCAGAAGAAGAAAAAGATGATGAAGAAAAGGAAGAAGAAGAACATGAAATAGAAGAAGAGGAAGAAGAAGAACATTAAAAACAAGAAGAGGAAGAGAAGAAGAAAAAAAGGAAGAACAATGAGGAAGAATAAGAGGAAGCAGAAGAAGAACAAGGAAGAGGAAGAAGAAGAAAAAGAAGAATATGAAAAATAAGAAGAAGAGGCTTGAAGACGCATAAGAGGAAGACGAAGACGAGAAGGAAGACAAAGAGGAAGAGAAAGAAGATGAGGATGAAGAAGATGAGGAAGAGAAAGAGGATGAAGAAGAAGAAGAAGAAGAAGAAGAAGAAGAAGACGAAGAGGACAAAGAAGACGAAGAAGAAACATGAGTGGGAGGGAGGGTTTGTTAAGCAGAAACATAGGGGTGTGAGGGGTCTGGGGGTGTGGTATTAAAGAAAGAAAAATGAGATTTTGTATGTTTGTATGATATTGATTTTCATTAAAGGTATAAATGTCATACCTATTTATTATTTAGGCGGTATTGAAATGACAAACAATTGGTATTTAAAATTGTCGTCCCCTTTATTAAATTTGTATTATTTATTATTTAACATATATTTTATATATTGACACTCTTGGTGTGTGTGTGTGCACCGATTGTAGGATAAAAAATATATGCTACAATAAAATAAGGTAATAGTAGTGAATAGTAGTGTAATTTGAATTTCACAGATATATTCCAATATTATTTGATAGATTTTTTATTATAATTTGTACTTCATTTATTTAAATAATTACTTTTTTCTTTTGTTGAATGCGATCCCATGCAACGCACGGACATGACTACTAGTAATTAATAAATAAATAAAAGTAGTAATAATCACATAAATAAGATAAAATAAACCCTAATTAGAGTTTGAAAATGGTAAAATGGTTAGAATTAAACTATTTGAGTTTATGTCAAATGAAATTTGGAATTAATAGACCTATGTCAAAAATTTTAAAAGTTTTGGGCCAACTATTCATTAAGTAGGTTGGTGAGGGGTATCTCAAATAAAAAAACCCTATTAATAATATTTTTTATTGCCAATTGTGTACATTAAAAAAAATATGATTTACATTAAGTTAAAACTAATAAATCAGGTTCTAATTATATTGTTTAAACTAGTAATTCACCCGTGCGATGCACGGGATCAATTTTACAGGAAAAAAAGAAAGAATTTGATTAAGAAAATTTATCGAAAAATTTGAACAATTGATATATAATACAATATAAATAAAAAAACATAAAAAAAACAATTTCCATTATATAAACAAAATGTCCCGCGTGGGTATAGCTCAACTGGTTCTTGCGTGGTAGTTGGTGCAAGGTCTTAGAATCTAATAATAGCAGCCGTAGTGTAGAAATCTCAATTCCAATGAGGGTTGGTTTCTTGTGGCACCAGCTCCAAGTCCGCTACCCTATCGGGCCGTTGAGGCTCCATGAATTTACATTCATCCACCAAATACTTGTCGGACCAAGAGATGGGGACCCTGTGGGCGAGGGATTTCGTCTTTTTATGCAAATAAAATAAATCATAACAAAAAAAAAATTGTGACATAAAAAATAAGATAAATCATTTGACTTAGAATGTTACAACTATCTTTTTCAGTTCACTTGAATCTTTAACATGAAAATAAAAGTCGTGTTTTATGAAACATGCATTGTCATCATTTATAATATATAATACCTTGAGAGTAAACGTTAAACATTTTTTATTGTTCATATGCAATCATAGATACACATTACGAAAACATAAATTATCTAAAATTGTAAAGAAAAAAAATACAATTTATATTGAAATACCTTGGATAAACAAAAAATTCATTGAAGTCGCTAGTAAAATACGCATAAAGAGCGAACAAAATGTAAATATTGCAAACTAAATATACACAAAAAAACAAATGTGTATCAAAATACACATTTTTTTGTATTTACCTTCATATTCGCTGAATTTCTTTCGTGCACACAACATTGCCAATAATATTAGTTGTATCGATCGATTCTGGGTTAATAAACATATTTATTTCAGATCTACTTTTAACTCTCGATTTGCCGTATATAATTGACTATGTCACCCTAATATTAACACTAATACGACACTAATAACTACTACTATTACTAATACTAAAACCAACACTGAAAGTACTAATACCAGTACTCATATTAATATTAAAACCATCACTAATAATACTACTACCAATAGTAATAATAATACAAATACTAATAGTAATACTATTACTAATACTGATGTTAATATTAATTCCAATATTAATACTAATGCTAATACTAATATTAATACTAATATTAATACTAATACTAATACTATAACTAATACTAATGCTAATACTAATACTCAATGTTTTGAAAACCGGACCGGACCGGCCAGTCCAACCGGTTCGACCGCGAACCGCCTGCCTATCCGGTCCGGTTGGTTACCAAAACTCGGAAAACCCAAAAACCCGGGTCATAGGGCGAAAATCCGGTCTGACCGCTAAGAACCGGTAAAACCGGAAATCGGAGAAAAACCCGGTTTTAGCTCAATAATGATTATTCCCGTCGGAATTTCGGGGTGGTTGGTCGGATATTGGCGAGGGTGGTCGGATCTGAATCGGGAGTGGCCGGATCTGAGTCGCGGTGAGTTGTGGCTGGCCGGATCCATGGCTGAAGAAAAAGGACGAAATGAGGGATATATGTTACTTCAAGATGGAGAGAAGGTAGAAATTGAGAA